TCCATGAGGGGTGCACTAGTCTGTGGGGCTTCCAGAGCATGACACCACAGTTGTGTGTCTTCACTGCCGGAGATCTCTTTCTTCATGTTTTGGGAGTCTGGAGAGATAGGTCAAGGAGAGCAGGCCTGGTTTCTTTCAGTCTTTTCTCTGTAATTTACAGATGACCATGTTCTGGCTTTGTCCTCCTTCAGACACCCTAATTCCACTTGTGGCCTGTGTACAAGTCTCCCCTAAAGACACCAGTTCCTTGGGGAAAGGGCCCCACCCATGTGACCTAATGACACAGACACCTCCTCTAATTCCCAGTGTCCGGGTGAAGACACTTCAGATGTCTGGTTGGGAACATGGATTGGAGGGACCAGCAGGGGGCGTGGTGGTTAAGGCGCTAGACACTCCCACATGGTTGACCATGGTTCAAGTCCTGGACCTAATGGCTTGCTTTCTTGCTTTTCTCTCTCTGTGTGTCTCTATCTTTGTTCAAATAAAAATAAATAAATGAAAGGAAGGAAGGAAAGAAGAAAGAAAGAAAGAAAAAGACAGAAAGAAAGAAAAAGTAAAACAGAAACAAAAGCAGAAATGAAAGCAAACACACAGCCTCACTTGGGCCTGACCTCTCTGCCAACTGTGGAGGCTCCCTAGTACCTTCCTCTCCAGTCTTATCTCAAGTGAGGACCACCCACACCTGCCCCCTCCCCATCTCTGATTCCTGGCTGCTCTGCTCTGCCCTAGGGCAGGGAGTGGACAGTGGACAAGACCAAGTGCCCTCAGGAACCCTGGGGACCTCCTGCCATCTCATCACAATCACGATGGTTCTGGGCTTGGACAGCAGGGGGCGCTGTGGGTCTGTGGGGCCCTCATGTGGGAAGTCTGACACCGACCTCCTCATCTCTGGTCAGGGCTCACTGGGCCAAGCAGCTGGGTCCTCTCTGGGCCCCTGGGGAGCCTCAGGTCAGGCTCAGCCCTTCCCCCCTCCCAGAACTGCCACTAGCCATTGGGACAGCTCATAGGCCCAGGGAGGGTGAGGGATAGAAAGGGGACAAGGAGATAATTTGCATGAAAGGCCTCAACCTCCCCTGCTCTGGGTTAGAGGGAGGATAAGAGAGACCTGCAGCGTGTCTGCCTCAGCACAGCTCCAGGGCGTCTGCACCATGGCCTGGACCCCACTCTCCCTCCTTGTCCTTGGTCTTGGCCTCCTCCTCCACTGCACAGGTCAGGACCATCTTCAGCATCCTGATCCCTGCTCCTAAAACCACCTCCAGCCACAGGAGAAATGCCTTCCCCCTGTTCTGCCCCAGGCCATAATGGGTGTCTGTGTTCCAGGGTCCCTCGCCCAGCCTGTGCTGACTCAGTCGCCGTCTACCTCTGCCTCCCTGGGAGCCTCGGCCAAGCTCACCTGCACTCTGAGCAGGGAGCACAGCACCTACACCATTGAGTGGTACCAGCAGCAGCCAGGGAAGGGCCCTCGGTTTGTGATGCAGCTTAAAAGTGATGGAAGCCACAGCAAGGGGGACGGGATCCCTGATCGCTTCTCGGGCTCCCGCTCTGGGGCC